CATTGTGTTCACGAACTGACACACAAGCACTGTGTGCGCGCACTTCGTGAAGTAACGCGTATGATTACATTGTATTTTGTTTTTCACGAACTGACACACAAGCACTGAGGCGGAAATACAATTCGGAGAAAAACACTTTGAAAGGTTTTACAGAAAGTTACTCCATAGGTGTACTTGTGGGGTTCTAGAATCGTTTAACGTAAAAACCTGCAGGGCCCAATTTCATAGAGCTGCTTAAGCAGAAAATTTGCTTAAGCACGAAAAAACATTGCTTAGTAAAATTAGGTTACCGGCCAAAACTCCATGTGATGTACATTGCTTGTGACTGGTATTTAGCTGTTGTTTACTTAGCATAACAATCACATGGAGTTTTGGCCGGTAACTTGATTTTATTAAGCAAGACGTTTTTGTGCTTTAAAAGCAAATTTTGTGCTTAAGCAGCTCTATGAAATTGCCCCGAGGGGCTGTTAACTAGTGAAACGCAATCCTGGTTTAACATACCGGTATATATATGCTATTATGCTTATTTAATTAGCAATTCAAAAATGAAGATGGTTTTCAGTTCATAAAACAAGTTTGTGAAAATGCAAATTGCGCCTTAATTTACAAGTGTTACTGTGTGACTGCATGATACATGTAGTCATGTACCGGTACCTGTATATTTATGGGTCTTTTACATAACATGTACATAAAATATACATGTATTTTGAATATGTACATGTGTACATGTGAAACAAAATGAACATGTACGCACATTTTAAACCAAACAGGTTTTTTTTTTTTTTTTTTTTTAAGCTGGTACTGGTACGGTAGGTACATGAAGGGTTTTAATTTTTTTCATGGTTCACAGTACTTTTACAATTTTAATTCTGTCAATTTGCATAAATTTACATGAGATGAAAAATGTAGACACCAACATGTATCGGTACTCGGTAGGCATAGTTCAAAGTACTGTTTAGATCATGTATACATGCTGATACGCAGTATTACTTCAGCTCTTTGACAAAATGTTAAAACCTACTCTTTTTTTTAAGCTTCAAATCTTCAAACTGGTAATCTTCAAACATGCCCAGCATGTAACCTACTTTAGTTTTTAAATTCTTTGGGACATGGACTTTTTAAACAGAAAGTCATTCTTTGGTGTTGTGCTTTTTTCCAAATAAGCATTTTGTGCAAAAATAAATCTCAGGGATGGAACGCATGTATTTACCTGACCCAATTTGTCATACAGAAAAGTGGGACTAAAAAGCCGTTAAATGTCAGTGATAAGAGAAGAGTTGGTTATTTTTGTGCTGGCTGTTTTTCTGAGCGACAAAGCGAGCGGTTTGAATGGCCGTATTTGCCTCCCGTGGCTCGTAGCAGGAGACCCTCAAAGAGAACGACTTGGGACAGGACGGATTGAGCCGTGACATTTTGATTTGGCACTTGTCAAACCCTCTCTTTTTGTACATCTTGTCAATTTTTTTCCCCCCGTCCGACTTTTTTTTACACTGGAAGTCCCCTTATACTTAATGGCAAACGGTCCTTTGTTGCAGTTCACATGTTTTCGAGAAGGCCTGACATTTTATATCGGAATATTAAAAATTGGCATTTTTTGGGGGGGGGGGGGGTGTGTGAAGCCCTCCCCACCTCAAAGTTTTGAATATCCATACAGATTTGTTCTGAAAGATTTCCAAGCTGGTGTTGACAAATTTATAATTCACTTGTGGTTCAAGGAAATTGTTGTTGAATTTCTCGCTAAATACTTCATGAGTGAAAAGTTGTCTCAATAACAGGTTTTTTGCAAAGGAATCGTAAAAGGAACTGGATCCGGCAATGGTAGTGTTGGTTTGAATTAAAATGACATCCAATCTGACTTGATAACCCTTTGATGTCAAAAAAATAATGCCAAAAGGGCGCATATTCTTTGCCTAGATCTTATTTCTCTTTCACCCCCCCCCCCCTTTTTATCAAAAATGCCCACGCAGATGCCATTCTTGATTATTGAAATTTTATCAAGATGCAGTTCTTTAAATGGCCATTTTTTCCCCCCTTTTTGAAGCAGGGAAATGGCACTGCGGCTTTTACAAAAACATTCTTTTGATGGACGTTACAATTCAGGAGTCTTCAGTGAAACTTGATGAGTGTATTTGTCCCAATCTGAGTCAATAATTACAGAACTCGATTTCCAAGGGCTTGGGAGGATCACTTTACAATCTTTGAAATCCTCTGCCCTTTTCTGTCAGAGAGCGGGAGGGGAGAGAGAGGTGTTTGTATGCAAGAGTCGATTTTGAGGCACAAAGATGGGTCTCAGATCGGTTCTATTTTGGGGAATATTTTCCAGTTGGCTTTGCTTTGCTTTGACCGTCTGTAAAATGTAATGTAGGACCTGCAATCCTGTAGAAATTGGCTAGACCGAATTAGGCAGGGCACTTAACCCACTTGCCTCTGTTCTCTCTCCTTGTTGTACCCAGAAGTATGAAAAGTGGGCATGGGGCATGATCTGGAATATTCCTTGATGAACTGGGTTTATCTAGACATTTTACTCGGTTGTTTCCTTGGGCAAACCTTGGCTTCATTCCTTGGAGGGAGTGATACAAATGCTTAGGGACTGAAGTTAGTGAACCTGGGGGAAGAATCCATGTTGAACATTTGGCAGCTTGGCGTCCTATTGGGATGTAAAGACTTCAGGACATGAAGACAAGTCAGGACTTGCCAAGCTTCATATCTGGGACGACAATTGTACTTTTACTGTCAGTTTCCCAAACAGGTTTTTGCCTCATCTTTGCACCGCTCGTTCCCCCCCCCCCCCCCCCCCCCCTGTGTTTCTGCCAAACCAATTATCTCAATCAGTTTAAAAATGGGGAAAGACTTGATCACGGAACAGATCTCTAAATCGGTGAGAATTGTCGCTGAACTTGGGCCATTTGAAAAGTTTGACGATGTAGGTTCTGATGGGTTGTTGGATAGCAGTAGTGTTTTATAAGTCCATTCACGTTGGCCAGGTGCCAAACTCAGTGTATAATATGTTATTACACCTGTGCGTTAAAATGCAAAAGCTTCAAGTCCCCGGGGGTACAGTATAGTGCCTACTTGCAGCCAAGCGTTGTGCTTTTTTTACACAGATTTTTTCTTCTCTCTACTCCTGTTGTCAGCCATCTTTTTTTCTTCAGCAGGGTTTGTGGTTAGGTAGCCGGTCAGCTTTGTTTTCTGAAATAACATCCGCCGATAATTTACGCGGCTGGACAGGGTAGAAGCGACTAGGTCTGCGTTAAGGGATCGTGTTCGTCTTTATTAGATTTGATATTCAGCAAGATGGAGTGGAGGCTGAAAGAAAAAAAAGAAAAGGGGAAACTAAAGCGGTATGTGTTAGTTCTAGGGTCGATGCATTGATCCGTAATGGCTGGCGTAAAGTGCAGGGAGGAAGCCTATGTTTTTCTTAGGTGCAAGACAAATGGACAGCTAAATCGTGGATCCGTGACTTAATGTATTGAGAGTGTGGCCACGATCCTAACGGACTACTGAACAAGCACACTAATGAAGTAACTCTGCAAAAGGACTGAACCCTTGTTTTCAGCTTGGCAAATCATCAAATGACAGTTTTCAACTAAGTTTTGTAGGTTCATAAGAAAATGCCAAATACTATGGAGGACACTCTTTAGTCATTAGCGAAGTTTCTGTGAAGCCAAAAGTGAAGACATTCATTTGAAATAACACGATTTCCAGCACACAAATTTTGTAAACATGTATACTCAGTGTTGTCCGAGGATTTACTGTGAGAAAATGTTCACAAGCTTACCCAATATAAAGTTTACATCTCCCCAATGCAAATTTCATTGTTGAAGACATTCATTTTGTAAAAACAATATGTTTAACTGTAACATTAGAAACTTTACTGAAATCGACTTGAGTGTCTTGAGGAACTATTGACAGAGCATCACACTTCTGTGAATAGGCGAAAATTAGGGACTCAACCGAGTGTGCCCCAAGTTGTTGCACACTCGCATTTTGAGTTGCCCACCTAAAAGTCAGGTATCCACAGAAATGATACTGTGGCGCCCTGACTCGTTAGTAATCTGTACCAAGATGAAGGGGATGTTTTGATGCTAGAGATCACAAACAGAAACAGCAATCTTCGGATTAAAATGTATGGGATAAAAGTATGTAAATAATAATATGGTTGCTTGTAGGTGCACCATGTGAATTACATACATGTAGCAGTCGCTTCTCTGAGTGTGCTTGTCCAAAACACTGGGCACATCTCTCGCCTCTGGGTCTTTTCAGAACCACTCAGTCTGCACAGAAAAGATTTAAAATCACGTGATGTCCCAGCATTAACCTTATTGTTGAAGTGTACTTGAGTAAACATTTGTGCTCACAACAAACATGCTAACTTGAAGCCTTACTGCGGAGACAATATTGCAAGGATCTGTGTCAAATTCTCCAAAATCCCAGACCGTGATTCAGAAACCCAGTGGCAATTTTCTTTCTTCATGTACATGAATGGGTACATGTTCTTTTCAACTTTCAAGATGCATCGAGGCCAGTGTCAGGTAATATAGTTGCGAAGTCTCCTTCAATTCTGCAAAATCTTCGGCCAGATTTTGAAGGATCAGAATGGTTTGAAGGTTAAATAAAAATGCGAAATTGTCTCTGAGATTGTCTCTTAAAATGTCCTCTTGTACATGGACGACATATGTGCACATTTAGTTTTCCTCTTTAGATTTTTGAAAGAGGCTGATTCAACTTACATTTTAACCTGTTTGTCCCTATACTGCTCCAAACTGCCTACCTGTTTGATACTCCCTGTACAACACCCAAAACTGTTACTGGTACTTGATTGTTTTATTTATTTATCAGTGAATGAATACAATCAGTGAATGAATACAATGTACTACAATGTACTACAAGTGCTAATGGGTTGAGTACATTGTTACATTTGATTGCTGTTAATAAAATTGAAGACATAGAAAGAGAGTTTACAAAATGTGTTTCCTTTTCTCTCTTTTTTTCGCCCTCAGAACTGTTTCAAGACCTGGATCAGCTACAAGATGAATGGTTGGATGGTATGTATCATTTTGCTAGTAATTTTACTTTCACAAAACTCTGTCAGCCTATGTGTCAAACAAAAATAGATACGAGATGAAATATCAAGTACTGGTAGGAAGGGCTCCATGCGTCAACAAGAAGCGGCACTTTTTGACCACAGTATTCGAGAGCGCCATAGTTGGGACACACCGTGTGTGTATACTGGGCCCAATTTCACGGCGCTGGTAAGCACACGTTTTTCTGCTAACAGAGCCTCTGTCTATTTCATGGAGACCGTAAGCATAAGCACAGCAAAAGGCATGCCTCCTTCAGAGGAAAACTTTGCTTAACTTAGTGACGTAACAATAGAAATCTCCATGCACGCGCGACCGTTAGCACATCCACGCCGTGAAATAGTGCTTAAGGTTAGCATATTTTTCTGCTATGCTAAACACAACTTTTCTGCTTACTGTTAAGCAGCGCCGTGAAATTGGGCCCAGGTTCACTCGCGTTTAGCGCGAAGTACGTACAACTTATTTTATTCTGAATGTGCACAAAGCCATACGATGTTCACGCGAGCGCCACCTGTTGGCGGCAAAGCGTCCCCCAACTCTCCCTTTCTTGCCGTTGAGGGGGTACTTGTGCACGGAGCCCATGGTAGGCCTAGGCTACTTGGGTAGTCAAGTCCTCTTGCTCTTGGTTTCATATCTGGTAGTGAAATTTCAAATGCTGTCATATGATCTTACTGGTACCATCAAGCAATGATGCTTTTTTTGGAAGGAACAGTTTTTCAAACATTCTTCAAGACTAGGAAGTTTATTCGGTTAAATCTCCGGATTTTGCTGTGGTACATGTACATTTAAACTCAACTTTGACTGAATCATTTTAAAGGATGAGGGGTTTTTTTGGTGGGGGTGTCATTATTTTGTGAGAGGACAGATCTTTAAAAGCTGCCCCAGTTGGGGGTATATTTTGACAAAATATTGAAAAGGGCGATTCTAAATATTTACAACATCAAGGATCTTGAACTTCAGTTGAATTATCATGGCAGACGAACTTAAAAATATCCGGCCCAGATACATATCAAATTTCAGTTGCCTTTTATTGGAGACTACACCATCGGTCAATTCCTGTTACATTATCGGTTAGTGATACAGTATAGGTCAATTTGTGTGACATTATCGGTTGGTGATACATTATCAGTTGGTTACTACATTATCAGTTGTAACAAACAGTTCTTGGGAATCTAATATCCATACCGTACATATTGATCACTGATCAGTACATGGGACTGAATTGTGAAATATGCAGGTTTCACAGACAAAAATGGGAGCCCTGTACTTTGTTGCCTCTGTTGGCATTAATAGCGTGGACCATTCATCACTTGGGTTTTCTTTTATGCTAAATCCTTCCACCATGTACATGTACATCCACTAAACCATAGCTTATTGAAAGGCATTGAAATGTGCACACACACACAGTGCAGCAGCCATGGTGTGGTGGTGGTGATGAATGGGGAAGGCATGCATGGTTGAGTACACTGGCTCAACTAGGAAGTTTTTACTTAGGGGACCACTTGGAAAATTTGCCTGTGTTGTTTGTTGAATTGTGTGTGGCAACTGTGTCAATAGGTCTGGTGCTTAGGCAAGCACAATGTCATCATGCAATAACTGGTACTACAGGACTGTTATGTTTGTTTGTGTTGTGGTTTGCTGTACATAGGTTAGATTGCTGTGGCTGGGGTCTAGTGATGTACAATGTACAATGCATGCTATAGTAAATTTAGATTTACAGTGCACATGTACATGTAATTGATATGTACTGGTATCTGTCTAGTGATACTGTTGAAAGGGGGAGGGGTCTGGAAATTGTGCTGGGGGAGGGGGAGAGGCACGTACACATTAAATGCATATGTACATGTACATGTACGGTATACTTGTATAACAGTACCTTACATGTACATGTACCGGTATGTTACATGTAGATGCCAACTGAAAAATCAATTGTGATGTTTTACCTGTGAATGACAATGGAATCACCTGTCCTGCAAGGCATTGTCATTGCTATATAGAAAATCAATGGGACTTGTATTCAAGAATTTACACGAACACCATACCGTACATGTACATGTGCATGACAATGTACCTGTAAAATGTATACTACCCATGTACATGTACGGTACCAGGACATGGCCATGGACATGTATGTTTCTGTACATGTACATGTACATGCATCGGTACATTGATATGAAGTACATGCACTTTAAATGTAATTGTATACTTGTAGCTATATGAGGTTTCCAAGATTTTTTGCAAATGTATGTTATGAAACTCAAATTAAAAAAAAATGTATGAAACAATACACTTTTACAGGGTGTAGTTACTCCACATACGTACAGTGTAGTATGTATGTCAAATATAAAATGAAAATATATCAAGTGGCGTAACATTGACATTACTGAGGTTGTTACAAAAAATACATGTACCAGTACTCATTGTCCTGTAAATTACTGAATTTATTACTCTATTAAAACATTTGTGCTTTCTCAGTAAATGGAAAGTCAAGGATTAGTCTCCCCTTTTCTAATAGTTTTAAGGTTTGAGGCTCTGCTCCTGAACTAAAGATGCATGGACAACGTATACCCGTAGTTCATTCAAAAAAAATATATAGTCCGATGCGCACGATGGAAAATATTCCGGTCAAATCATAGAGCAAGCCTTGCTGTATGGTCAAATGCATGACGCCAGCGCATGATCAAAGGTTATTTACAAATGTACAACAGACACGTAAACATGACAGTTGTTTACACATAAAAAACACACAAAAAAAACATAAATTTGAAATGATAATGCAAAATGATTGCATCATACTATACATGTACATGTACATGTTATCACTTCATATGATAAGTCAACTAATTAAATGTCAGTGGTGTTGGGTTATAAGTGTTTTCCGGGATCCAGTGAGTGACATTTGATGAAAAGACAAACTCGTCCTAAAGATTTCATTTGTTCTTTTCTCCCCATAAAAGTCATCCAGTCAAGATAACAATTATTCATTGGTATTCATTGCCATTGGCGCCTGATTCTCCAGTGAATTTTTTTCTTTTTAACGTCAGGAGAAATGCACGTCGTTTGGCGCTGGCGGCTATACACAGGCTCCACAGGTCTGCGGTTGCCCGTGGCTGTACACTCCAACGCGCTCCTCCATTAGGCATATCAATGCTCAGATTTGCGATTTCAAACACGACTTTGCATCTCATTAAAAACGGAAAGGAACTGCGGTGCATCTTTGCATGTATACATGTACTTAATGAGAAATGGATGGGGTAATCCTACACGGATGTTATAATTAAACATTGCAGTGTCATGTCTGTCTGTCTTTTTGAAAACATGTATGTAAATGCACAGTCTACACATGATGTACAATGTACACGTACATGTATGGTGCAATGCACGTACATGTACGAGTGTACAGTCGTACATGTACATGTGTACGTGCACAAGCACGGTCTAAATTCTGCATTGTAATTACTTCATGCTGTACAGTATGTAAGTGAGCTTCTTATTAATTTATAGTAAAACTCATTTTTGGAAAGTCGTTTGTGAAATTTTGCTCTTATCAAAAAGTTAAAATTGCCTCATCCTTTAAAAGAACTGAATTTAGTCGTGTAAATAATTTTTGTTTAAAGGGAATGTACAACATTTGATTTTGCTGCATTTTTCAGAAATAAATGGATTTGGAGGATTATTACCGGTACATGTCATAGCAAATATTGTTAAACAGAGTTGCTTCACGTTTTGGGTTCGGAGATGCTGGAGATGAAACTGAGCAATTTATAGACTTTGGGGGATCGTAAGGTCAGAGAATCAGTCTAGAAGGCTTGTACCCCTTCACAGGTGTGTAATCAATTGTAAAGAAAATGTGGAATAACTAAATTATGAAAAATTAGGAGCACTTTTTGAAAAAAGTCAGTTTTCTCCAACGCTGGTCGGCCGACCAGCGTTGGAAAAATACAAGTTTTCTTGAAAATGTCAGCACACCAGGAGCCACGATTTTACAGGATGCTTTGGACTGTCATTCCCCAGCAATCCAGTAAGATATTTCGTGATAATTTGATCATTTCGTTTTTTGATGTTGCAAATGTTGTACATGTATATTTTCCCTTTAATGATGAAGCAAAAGGGTTATTCATTTTGAAAATTTTTATGGATTAATTGGCATCATTAAAAACCAAAATGGGTGGAATTCTTGGTCATATTTTTTGGACCCCAACCCAGGATATAACATAACACTTTGAGCAACCTTCGTGAATGAACATTCGGGAAGTTAGTAGAGAGTGGAGTGTACTGTCTCTCAGCCAGCCAACAGCACAAGATGTGTGGCAAAACAACAAACAGTCAAGACCTCCAATTTTTGTTTTTATGTGGGAGGGTAGGATGATACATGAAGCTCTTCAGAAAGCCACAAAGTCGTGTTCGTAAGTATTCACAAGCTCCATGACCTATATCGGCTGTTACCTACTGTTTTCCTATATGGAATTTTAACGGACGCTGTGAGGTCTCGTTCGAAACCTGACTGACTACATGTTGTTACAAGCTGGTTGGGGGGGGGGGGGGGGGGAAGAAGAGACAACTTCAATTGTCTTATTGATTTCCATGGTTACATCTTGTAAGTGTTTTTAATAGGATCCATTATTGTATTTTTGAATATGTTTTTGCAACAGGATTTTTTCTTCTCGCTTATAAAAGATCCGCCAGCGATAAAATATTTAAACCTAAAATAACAGAGCGAGTTCAATTTTTAATGAGAACACTACCCAAATTTCATTGCTGATATACTTGTAACTTCTTTTGGCTGTAAATTTGATTTGAATAAGAGGAAACAGATCCAACATCTCGTTGTAAATTTACATTTCAATAATCACGTCTTCCATGGGAAAAATAGTACTTGTAGGACTATTAGTAGTACTTCTCAACTTGTAGTTGAGAAGGTTTCAGGAGTGTTTGCCCGTTGAACAGGGGCAATAATAATTGTAAAGCGCTTTGAATATACCCTGTTTCAAAGCGCTATCTATATAAATGCCTTTTATTATTAATTTACATTACTCCTGGGCATTGTGTTTTGGAGTTCTTTGACTTCAACTTGTTGATGTGAAAATCCATTACTGATTTTAACAAAATGAGGTGCATGTACCGGCACATGTAGTTTTGTTTTTCTACATGTATACAAATTACATGTATGTATGTAGTTTGTATTTTATTTGTTTTTATAAATTACTTTTTATTGTTTGTTTTTTATCCCTTACCCAAGGGAAACAACAATTAATAACAGGTCTGTCTTTGTTACTGACAGAATTTGAAAGCTTGTTTTTACTTGAATTCTAAATTGAACAGTCCTGAATCCTCCAATTTTAATATAATTTTGCACATTCCCTAGGGAGTTTAATAGGGATAGCAAAGAATCAAGCATTGCTTTGAAATGAGTGAAAGAAAATGGTCTTAAGAAGCACACGTATACATGCTTTGTGCATTAGGAGTTATGTACAGTATCTTGAAGGGGAAAAAAATGCAAGAAAGCACTTGCGATCAATACCTTTTGGTTTGACCCATTTAACTACGTGAGGTTGCATTGAAGTGGTTTAGCATGTGGAAAAATACCGGGACAGGGCACAAACACCTTATCTGTTCAAAGATCTCTTGGCGCCGGATTCCCACCTTAAAATGAGTCGTTGTACATGTACATGCACTTTCGCATAGATGTTGTGTGAGTCTGTTTGTGTCCACTGAATTATCGGACTCATAATTTGACTTTGAGTGCAAAGATACCGGTAGATTTTTTGGGTGGGGGGGGGGGGGGGGGGTTGTGTTCTGAAAAGTTTTAGAAGAAGTGCGATATTCTAAGATATCTTTTTAGAAACACTAATCCCATGCCTGTTTATTACATGTACATGACAATTTGACAAATGTTGCTACCGGTATTTTATTATAGCTTGGGTTTTTTCTGTTGGTGAAATTTCAAATGAAGGAGTGTGAGATAATCATCTTCCGAGTGAATATTTTACCTTCTTGTTTTTAAGGGAACAATAACATAACCATCCAGGTCTCTTTTGTAAATGGATCCATTTTGTAAATGTTGGTGATTGTCGATTTGCGTGCGTACTCCTTGACGTGGCTATTTCTGGTAAATGGATATTGATCATTTTCTCAGTTTTCCAAGCGCCTTCTGGTTTGCAAAGATGATTTTGTTTTGGCTGTAGCAAATAAGTTCTATTTATACCTAAAACCTCAATGTGTTTTCCTCAGTGACTGCGGCTAGAATTTCAGGGGGGGGGGGTGTTTCAAGCATATCGTCAAGGCTGCCCTTAGGGGAATGAGTGAAAAATTCAAACAGTGGTGAAATACGAAAGACATTGTACAAAAGGCGCTAGAAGCAAATTTCCACTTTTTTTTTTATCTTAATCTAAAGTTTGTAGGAAAAGCCGCGTACATGTACGTGTACGTCTTTCGGGAGATCTGTCTTTGGGCAAACAGGACTGATTCCCTGAGCTTTGCTTTCTCTGGGCCGACCAAAAGATACATTAAATGGAAAACTTCATTTAAAAATAGCTTTCCTCTATTTGATCAGGTCGCCAACAATTTTGAAAGTTTATCTCCGGATGCTTTAGAAAGGTTAGAATGGGTTAATACAGACCGTGATGAAATGGATGGGGATTAGATGACAGTTGGAAAGTCTTCTTTTTTTGTCTGAAGGTATTAAATTGTTTGCCACTGCTTGCCTTCAAGAGCTTGAGAAATATGACACTGCGCGTGTCAAAGATGTCCAACGTCTTGCAGTTTGGGATTACAATTAAACAGACATATAAGGCTTAATTGTATGCGTGCTTTCACATGTTTAATACCAGTACATCTAGACACATACATGCAATAACAAATGAGGGTGACTTTTAGATTTGTTTGTGTTATTTGTTTGTTTGTTTTTTGGAATGCTGCATTAATTGAGAAGATTTGAAGCCTAGTTTCTTAAAAATGACTGATAAAACAAAACCTAAACAAAAGGACAGGTCATTGTGCAACTGTAGTTGCAAATGCGAAGTTGGATGTATGTAATGTACATTGTAAAGTGTACAGTTTTTTTTGTACATGTACATTCACAGTATTGCATGTACATCTTAGAAGTTCAGAAACAGGATGTTAAATGAGTGTTCACACATAATGTTTGAATTTGTTTTAAAGTCCTTTCAAATGAAAATCTTAAGGATCAGACGTTAACGTGTGCAGAGCCACGCGACAGCCGATCGGAGTTGCCGGTAGAAGGTGTGACGTCACTTAGAGCAGAAATTCAGCCAAAGCTGTAGATTGGTCAATACCGGTAGTTGCCGTGTTTTTCCGATGCAATATCGGGTTACTGAAGGCGCCCGCTGAATGGTCAAACTCTGGAGGTCAAGACGCAGTGTTGTTTTGCATAATCTGCACGCACACCGGTACATGTGCACTATTCAGTTGTTATCGTACCGGTCGGTACCTCTAGCTACAATGTACATGTTCAGTGTAATTCTACACTTTTACAACAAAACATTGCAGTAATTTTATCTGTACAAATTCTTTAACTCATGAATTTGTTTTCCGGTGAGGAAGCCAGAAGGACAAATCCCTGTCATCTGATTGTTGGGTCGTTGATCACTTGTCATTGAATTATTCATCCCAACCCACGGCCGGCCGGCCTTGCTGCACCGCAAAAAGTTCTATTCCACGGTAAATAGAAGTTCCATTGCACGGTCACATGATTGGTGACTCTGATCAATCAGATGATGAGGATTTATTCAGGTGTTGTATAAAACAAATAATGAATGTTTCACCTTCGTGCAATGGTAAGAATAATTTCATTCAGTGACAGATGGATTGTTCCATTCCACTCGGCTTCGCCTCGTGGAATGGAACATTCCATCTGTCACCTTTTGAAATTATTTTTACCATTGCACTCGTAAACATTTATTATTTGTATACTATTGCACAATTTATTTCACTGTTTATAGTTTCATTTTTTCAATTTTTTGTTTGTTTTGGTCACCTCTTTTGATTCTAGGCCTGTGTGATTTGGATACCGAAGCAGAGCAGTTTGTACCAGACTTCCAGAGCGAGAATCGTAAGTAAACACTTCAAGACTGTTCAGTGGATGTTTAGGAAGTGGGGGAGTGGGTTGGCGCCTCTGCCCTCGTAAGAGATGAAAGAGATGATATCTAAGGAAGAAATGATGCTGCGTCTGCCTTGCTCGTGCAAGAAATAAAAACTGGGGAACAAGGAACAAATGTGGGTGGTTGTACTGTGAATCAAGAGAGAGGGAGATGGTTATTGTTTTAATCTAATCGTTTTTTTTTATGAATTGAAAGTGCAGTTGCCCCTTTCAATTGTCAACTTCTTAATGATGTTTCAGATTTGTTTTGAAGCAAACTTACAATTTTTATTGTACCTTTGCTATTTTTAAAATCATTTGTATTGCATGTAGTTTTTAAACACATTTCTGGTGCTGATCTTCCTTTCTTCCATCTCCTAATTATTTTGGCTGTACTTTGTCCTGGAAAAAGAGGATAAAAAAGGCTTGGATTGTTGGAAAATTACGGAATTTGCGATCAAGTGAAGCATAGAAAGTTAGACCAATTCCAAAAAAAAATACACTGGACATGAAATGCAGTCGTAGACAACTTTTTCTGGATTGTTGGTTAATACTTCATGTAGTGTATACATGCGGTTCTTTCCTTGCCTTCCATCGCTATGACCCTGGTTCGAATCCCACCTGGGCCAATATGTGGCTTGGGTTTTCAGTCCCTACCTGATTCCATGGATTTTCCCTTTATTATCATTCTGGGGTTTTCCTCCCACCACTAAAACTGTAATTTCTTTCCACATCTTCTACCAAAGGACCCCACTGAAAATACAGTATTAAGTCGAAAGACTTTCATGGGTTATCCTGGCCAACTGCCGACTAATGATCAATACATAATTATGTACATTTTATACCCATGCCTTTTGCATACAACATGTTTTATTGGCAAGCATGCTGGTATGGCAGACTATTAAAAGAAATCCATATGGGTCAAATGTCAATTAGGAATAACCCCATAAAACAAGAGAGGCAAGATGGTGAATCTGTGCATAATGCTTTTAATGTCTCTGTGTTCTCATGAAATATTTATGCATTGGTGTTGATGGATCTAATTTCTGTCTGGGGTGTCAGTCACAGCCAGCGGCATGCACGTTAATGTTTGAGGCCAGGGGATCGTTATGTGAATGTTGTTGTTGGGGGGGGGGGTGTTCTTGTTTTGTGGTATCAGGGATGTTCTTGTTCTGTGGTATCAACCCAGTGGGTTACAGCCTGTAAGTGTACAGCTAGTGTGTACAATTTTCGGCATTCGTACATTCTTAATCCTTATTGGAGGAATGACTGCAGTGTACGGTACATGTGTGTGTGCATGAATTCTCGTCCTTAGCAAGAGTATGAAATTCAGAAGTGATGCGAAACAAAATAGGAACCTTTTTAGCTTCAGTAAACTTGCCACAAAAATTGGGAAAAGGGTTGGGTTTTTTTAGTAGACAAAGTACTCAAGGCTGCTCAACACAAGCAGGTATGAAAATATGAAAAGCAAAAAAGTTTCAGAAGATAAAAACCAGATTTAACGACTTCCCTATTATACGAGCATTATCATCATTGTTATCAATTATGCCATCATAGAGATAGCCTGTTTAACGTGATGTATCAAGCAACAAGTTTTTTACTGCAGAAAATCCCTTCCGACCTTGGTAAAAACTGATAGCAGTCTGTGAGTGATACTGATGTGCCTGTGGAGCTGGTTCTTGCACAAACATTACAATGGCTTTGTCAACAGATGCTAGGCGTAATTGCGTTTATGGCTTTCACTGACGCTGCTTGTGTCAATGGGTGACTGAATTGCGCAAGACTTGAATGACCTCATCCAGCTTGTGCATTATTCTAAAACTTCGAGGCATTATTATTTTTCCACTCAGATAATCCCCCCTATTAGCATATTGCTATCAATCATGACAGTCATAAAAAAAATGAAAAGAAAGGCTGTATTAGGGTAACTGCATCCTGTTCATCAGCTTGTAAACATTTCTCTTTTTCCCATGCCCCTGTGATACATGTAGAACAGAAATTTATACAGAGCAGCGCGCCACTTGGCTGGCAATGAACAATGCCATTTCCGTTTGGGCAGACATGCATGGTAGACTGCCGTAAGTGCTGCTGAACTGGCCCAATTTAAGGAATAAAGGAATCACGTGGATAGTAGGTAGTTTCACATTTAAAAAAAAATCATATCACCATCGACCTCCCCCCCCCCCCCTTTTTCCGGGTTTGTTTGTTTAGTGTTTTTTGTGTGTGTTCATAACTCAATTTTTTCCATTTCATTACTGGTTGAAACGGATGCAAATCTCGTAGAAGTCGACTGTCCAGTGACAATGCTCACTGGATATCACCAGCACAGCGAATTTGGGACCCGTCAGCGATACCACTTCAAGGCCACTAAGAATTATGCAGTCCCGTAAATGCTTATTCTATTTTGGGTGTAATCGTTGCTTTCCGTTCTTGCAGTCTGCACATTGTGTTAACCCTAACCTCACCTAAAGCTACAAAATACTACTGAGCAGTAACCTGTAGTATGCATTTCTTGCCATACAAGTGTGTACAACACATGTAGTATTCTGCAGTATTCTGTACTTTACCCCCAAAGAGCCCTTAGGACGTTAGGGTTAAAATGTACAGTTATAGTATTGTTACTGGATGCTACACCGTAACATTTTGCTAGTACACTGTATTAACATTGTGTTACTAAACCGTAACGAGCCATTGTTGTCAGTACCCAAAGCCATGACTGTCATAATAAGGAGAAGTACCGGTACATGTAGTACATTCAAAGAACCTTTGCAATCATTTGGTGTCTGGAATAAACCCATGGGCATTTATATGCACCTGCATGTATACACCTGTGTAGAAAAGCTCTACACATACGTTTATACATGTACAAATACATGTACGGAATAATATGTACAATTTGTAACTAGTTGGTTTGTGTGCATTACAGTACAGTATATTTGCATGTAATTTACATGCACGTAATTTACATGCACATGTACCCTGTACTTTAGTCAGATTTTAAAAAAAGTATTACTTTAACTGCTAAAAAAAACTAGGATTTCCAATAGGCCTGCATTTATATACCGGTACATGTATGTGCATATTCATGTACAGGTACATGTATGTGTACATGTACAATGTAATGTCAGTCTTCTATAGATGTATTCCAGCATATGTTTTATGCAGGCTTATCCTTGTTTTCATCCCATACATATAATAACAAATCCAAATGGTTGGCCTGCGTAAAACTATTAATAGCTCCATACGATAAAACTGATAAATTTGTATTCCATCACAGTATTATCCAAGGGTTACAAATGTACATCAGGTAAAATTTCGGACAAGTGGTTTTGGACTTATTCTAAAATCTGAAAAGTTATTGCCTTTCCCTACCACCCCTAAAAAAGCAACGTGAGAGCCCCAACAAGTTTTGAAACAAGTATTAGTGGTGTCCCACAGGTGCTCCCGTCAGGGATTTTTCCCCACCCCTCCTGCAAAGTGGAAGCTTCCAATTGATGGGCTGTAATGAAAAGCTTCCTATTGCCAGTCCCACTGGCCCTGAGGGGGGTTTGCAGCGGATTCCAGGCAGTAAACAAGTCACTAAGTACAGGGGTACTAATACTCGGGGATCTCCTCAAGTGTTCCCCGTGCTGCTCCATCATCAAGCCTGGCTGATGATCCTCTTACAGGCATATTTAAGACATATTTTGCTGGGCATGTTTTTCATCAGAGCTGGCATCTGAATGGCAGTACCTGCAGTGATGCACATCAAGTGATTACGATTTTTTTTTTAGGAAATGCTTGTACTTGTTCTTGTCTTCAAGTAATCATTTCCAGTTTAAAAGATTTTGCCATATGAATGTTTCGACTCTTATCCCATTTGTTTCTGGTTGTCTTAAATTTTTGTGCCTTTTATAAGACTGTATTCTGTCTGGCTTTTCAGTGCGCAGAATTCACTGAGTGGGGTTAAAAATTGTGTACATCTCAAGGGGTTGTAGTTCTCTAAGAAAGATGTGTTGGTTCGCACCACCTCTCAATAGTTGGCAACAAAGTCCCACATAAAGAGAACACAAACAAGACGTTTCGTTACTCTGATTTTGTCTTGCAGCACTTTATATACGGTAGCAGCCCTGGCATTATTTTAGACTGTCAAATAAAACCAGTCGGAACGGGGCACAAAATTGTGTGTGTTTTTTTCTACAATGCCCCAAGTGTCAAGTGATGCCAAGCCACCTTCTCCCATTTAAAACCAATAATTCCACAGTTTGTGATTTTTTGCTGCGCTTTTGGTGAGTACATGTACTTGTTGAGAAAGAAACCCTGGTAGTACATGTACTTTGAGAATTCTGCCGGCACTAGTCTGGTGTGTGCATTGCTTTGTAATTGAACCAGCTCAGAGAGGAAGTGTTCAGTTTGTGGGTTGGGACCCCAAGGTTACCGGGCCAGTCATGATTGGGTCTGAGGCTTGCCACAGACTGACAGTTGCATCTTAAAGGGACAAACCGCAATATCCCACGGCTTGATGTGGTCCAGAAAGTGCCACTTATAAAGATTTGTAATGTGTAGGAAAAGTCAGGATTGGGTGGGGTGGGGGTGGCTGTTAGCCGAGTGCATATGATGGCCTGTGTGTGCTTCTTCTACTCTTAAAAAAGGGTGTGCAAAAATCATTTAATAGAAACATTGAAATCTAAACAGTTTCTGGTTAAACTTTCATTCTATAGTGCCTTGGATGCTATGCACACCTTGGGTGTAACAAACGTCATATCCTACATTACATCAGTCAACAAAAAAGGGTGTGCAAAATCATTTAATAGAAACATTGAAATCTAAACAGTTTCTGGTTAAACTTTCATTCTATAGTGCCTTGGATGCTATGCACACCTTGGGTGTAACAAACGTCATATCCTACATTACATCAGTCAACAAAAAAGGGTGTGCAAAATCATTTAATAGAAACATTGAAATCTAAACAGTTTCTGGTTAAACTTTCATTC